CCAGACCTACTGTTTTTACCTTGGGAAACACTGAACTAACCTTTACCTCCTTTTTGTGAGCGCATTTTATTTTTTTTTATTCTTGCCATAGAGCATGCTGATTAATTTTACAGAAAGGGTAAGGGAGGGAGAAAAAGGGGGAGAAACATCAATGTGAGAGTGAAACATCAATCGGTTGCTGTTGACATGCCAGGGGAGGGCCTGAACCACATGACTAGCAGATGGGAAAGGTCAGGGAGTCTAAACCACAGAACCAGCGATACGCCTCTCGCACATGCCCTGAACGGGGACCAAACTCACAACCTAGGCATGTGCCTTGATGGGGAACTGAACCTGTGACCTTTCAGTTGGTGCCCAACTAACTGAGCCACACCAGCCTGGACTGTGAATGCATTTAAAAATATAGAATGTTTGGGGGGTTACCAGAGATAAGAAGATAAGAGTTTTTTAAAAAAAATGCATCTCATTTTATTTTCTATCCCTAGGAAGCTCTTACTTGACTATCTTTCTTTTAGTGACCTCCAGGTCTCTGACTTTTTGAGCATTTTTTTAACTTTTCTTTCTTAAAGAAAGGCCTGTTATAATAGCAATGAATAGTCTACAGGCATCCCGCGGCCACTCCCTACTGGCCCTTGTCTCTCCTTCTTCCATGTGCTGCTGTCACTCACATGTACGCAGTACACAGCTCACACGTGTTCCCAGATGCCCCACCCAGTGCCCCAGTTAGGATGCCAGCCCAGCTCCTCGCCCCAGTCACCAGAGAACCGATCGTCTGTCCCGCCACTCAAGTCCGTTGTGCGCATTTCTCCCTACGGCACGTGTGCCTCCTGCATGCTCTTTAAGCTCATGGTTTATACAGAAGCAAGATATATCCCGCACTGCAAGATGAATATTATATATCTTTGGCTTTTACAAGGCTAGGTACTCTGGAGACGGATGGTTAATAGATGTTAATGGAATTTAATTTTTATACACACTACATGTGAACATTTATCTTCAAAATAAAATGGTGTGAAACCTTACGAGGCACCAAAAAAAAATTCAAAACAAATTATTTTTTACTCTGTGTCCTTAAATCAAGTTGCAGAGACTGAGCAAAGTAGAAAAGCTGTTTTCTGTATATTTAGAATGTAAAACCTGAATATAATTACTAATGATGTAGTACACTGAAAGTATCAACAGGCATTTTGCCAGAGTTATTACCGTTATGAAATATTTCTAAAATGGTGCCTGAAAAGAATCTTTCTCCACAACCCATTTTTCCATTAATTTTCATTAGCCAAGAAGTCCTCTCTGGAAAAGAAGAAAATCTGGCCCCAAATGTATTAAATAATAATCAGCAGGATAAATGTTTCCAAAATTTTTATAAAAAGAAACAACTCCAGTAAAACAATACCACTCAAAATACTTGTAATGTTGGAGGCAAAACGGCACTAGAATATCACTGGCGGATGGGGCCTCAGTTCAGCAACCTCCGCACCTGAGTTCTGGCTAAGAAAGAAGTCGGAGCACAGAACTCGGCGAATGATAAGAGAATGTTTGTTTAGCAAGTCACAGAGGTAGAAGAAGTGAGCCGGCTGGGCTGGGCTGCGTGGGCCCAGGAAACAAGTTAGAGAGGCAAGAGAAGGGCCCTGGGAACTCCGGGGAAAGAAATCGAGGATACGTGTGGGGTGAGAGGGGCGGTGTGAAGGAAAGGGGGAAAGGTTGGGGTGTGCTCCAGAGGGTCTTTCTTGAGGGGTTTTATCCGGAAGTCCCAGGGGAGGATCAATACAGACGATTCATCAACTTTCCAGGTGTGTCTCCTCAGGGGTGTGGTCTCCACTGATTGGTCAGCACCGGGGGAGGGAGTCATTTGTCATCAAAGCTGATTCTGAGGTCAGTCATGGCGTTGCCCAACTGGTTTTGTTGCTTTTCTCGGCCTGGAGCTGAAACACAGCAGGGCCTGGATGTTATGTCTGGGGCTTCATGCTTAAGGGGTTGGTCGTGCAGGGGCGGGCATGGAAGGCCTATGCGGTATTCTCTGGCTCTCTTTTCTTCCGCTAAGGGGGTCGGCCACATGACTACTGACATGCCAGGGGAGGAAAGGTCAGGGGAGGGCCTGAACTGCATGCCTAGCAGACGGGAAAGGTCAGGGAGTCTAAACCACAGAACCAGCGATATGCTAGGGGGGAAAGGTCACCCTGGGAGTGGGATCCCACCCTACAATTGTCTGTTGCTAGGCACCCAGGGCTTGCGGCCCTGGATGACCTTCTGTGCCTGGTCTATGCTCCTGGCTCTGCTCACGCCTAACCGCCGACCACAGTAATATTATAGGTACTTGACAATGTGGGTCGAATGAATTATTTTTGTGTTCTAAGGCTGTGCTTAAAAGCATAATGCAACTTGTTTTTTTAATCCTCACTCAAAGATAGCTTATTGATTGATTGAGAGAGAGAGAGAGAAACATCAATGTGAGAGAGAAAAATTGACCGACTGTCTCCATACACACCTCAGCTGGGGGACTGAACCTGCAGACTAGGTTTGTGTCTTGACCTGGAATCAAACCTGCCACCTTCTGGTGTATGGGATAATGCTCCAATCAACTGAGCCACCCGGCCAGGGTGCAACTTGCTTTTTTAAAGTGCATGGCTGTCTGGATATAAATGTAGTCTAATTGTAAATTTTGCCTAATGTTATGTTTCACAGGATTTGGATAATTAATTGAAGGTAGAAGAAAATATCACCTTTGTAATCTTCCTAATTCATGAAACAACATATAAAGCAACCAGTTTATTTTCTACATATTTAAAATACTTAGATTTCTCTAGTTCCAGCCAATGAAAAAAAACTCTTTTTGCTTCAGGCCTGGCACTGAAGTGCTACTTAATAAACATTTGATGAGTAAATGAATGATTTTGACAGTCGCCAGGCATTCAGGGCAAAAATGAGGTAATGCAGCGCTTTGTGAAGAACATGAGGAAACAGATCTGGGTCATTGTCCCCGTTCTGTCATGAGGTAGCTGTGTGACCTTAGGTAAATAAAGTGACCTTGCTGAGCCCTGACTTCCTCCACGTAAGGCAGATGTTTGGAATGATGTCCAATGGCCTTCTAGCTCTAAAACACTAGCTCTGAATCTTAAAATTAGCCCATTGTTCTTGCCAGTTTTACCTGGGACTTTAACTGTAGATAGAGACACATCTTGGCTATAAAAAAACTTCTGCGTCTGAGATTACACGGAGCATCCCCTAGAACCAAATGTATGAAAAGGGTCACTATGTGAACGCAAGCAGTGGAAAGATGGAAGCCCGAGGGCTTGAACAAGTGCAGGAGACAGGGAGGGAGAGGGGTATCCAGAAAAAAGTGTCTCCATAGTTCACAGCAGTGAAGTCTCCCGGGAGTGTTCTCGGGATGTTGCAGCATCTAAGTTTTATTTATGGCTGATTAACAGCTGATGAATTTATAAAAGCCTTCTAAAGAGGGGACTAGGGTGCTTTATTTCCTAATTGGATGGTGACACCGCACATAAATAAAGGAGAATCAGTGCCGCCTGCTGGGAGACTCTTGGACATGGCAGGTTGGTGCTCCTCTCTCCCTTGATTTACTGGGTGACCTTGGGCAAGTCATTCATCTTCCCCCAAACCAGTTCCCCTAATTATAAAATGGAAATAAAAATACTTGCCGCCGTCACGGAGGATTAATGAGACAAGGTGAATGTCTGTGAGCTCCCACAGGGGAGAAGCCTGCACGCGAGCAAACGAAGAACTGGGAAGCAGCACCGTTAGGCTGTTTGCACAACGTGGGGAGGAAAACCACACAATAATAAGACCTGAAGCTGAAAGTTTCCTAGTGTAAAAAAAGGGGGGGGGAGTCCCTTCTTTTGAGCAGCCCGATTTCTCTGGCATGCGCCACGGAACCGGCTGCAGACAGCGGAGGTTAGTAACCGCAAGACTGGCACTGACTGCGTTTACCCATCCAGAGTTCTAACCTTTGTTCCTCTGCGAACGGTGACATCTCGGGGCAATTTCTTATTCTGTACGACACTGGATAATCATACTACATACCAGACAGGTAGGTAATGTATAGACACCTAACACATAGTAAGTTCCAGATAGACATCTGCTACAATTTCTACTTTCAGCAGCGTAATTCTAGCTGCTGGAATACGTTCCTCCCCAAAGGGAAAGGTCCTTAGCGAAGAGCGTGGGGTGTAAAGGTAAACGTGGTGTAAACATTCACAGGTGTTTAAAAAGGTGTGTGTGGGGGGAGGGGTGGAGCGGAAGTGATGTAATGCCTTGAAGCTCACTTTCTTGGGCTGAATTAAGAGTTTGGGGGTATTCAGACAACGCCTTTCAAAGCTCTCCCACAAGATCGCGAGGGGGCGCTGTGAGCCCACTTTGGCCGGGAAGAGGCCGCGAGCTGCGCGCCGCAGGGAAAGCTAGGAGCTTGCAGCTTCCAAGCACCGGGGAAAAAAAAACCTACCAGAGCCCACGACCCTAGCTCGGGTTCCCCAAGGGGTGGCCTGGGTGACAGGAGGAGGGAGGAGAGGGAAGCCCCCTCCTAGCCTCACAGCTCTTTGCCCACTTTCCCCCTCCCAATCAGGCTCCTTTTGCCAGCTTTTCTGAATTTGGGATCCACGAGTCCGGGGCTTGGGAACCCAGGCAGCCCCGCCCCGCCGCCCCGCCGCCCCGCCGCCCGGCCGCCCCGCCAGCCCCACTCCCTGCTGTCGCAGCCGTAGGGAATATTTTTGGTGTGCCTATGTCTGGTGTTGTCCAGGGCAAAAGGACCAAAGCTGTCGTCTGATTTTAAGTGGTCTGCGTCCCAAAAGGGTTTAAGCTTGGCCTTTCTGAATTCGGGAAAGAGGGACCTCCCACCAAAGGCCAAATGCGCGGGTCTGGAAAACACTGGAAAACCATTTGTCACCCTCCAAGGTCGGCGCTGGGCGCCGTCTGGCACGCCCCACGCGGACTCCTTCAGGAGAAGTCCAGTTCAGGTCCTGACATAGCTCAGGTGCGAACTCGGACGGCCTTTCTGCGAAAAGAGACCCGGAGACCGTGAATCCGCCCAACAGAGTACCTCGACCAAAAATCCCTTAGCTCCAGGAAGAGATACTCGGAAATTTAGAAGAGGTACTGGGTCTGTTCCACCTGCCGCTCCAGTCCGCACGCTCCCAGGCGCTTGCTCAGGCTTTGGGCATGATGGGAAAACTCGGCGGATTTTGTTATTCCCTGTAGAGAGAGTGCCGCGGGCGGAGCTGTCTGAGCATCTCCTGTGATTCGAGCTGGGGGTTGGGGTACCCACGTCAACGCGCCCCAGAGACCGGAGAAATCTGCTTCCCGGGCTCCAGGACTGAATGCCTCGACGTGTCCCCGGGGGCAGAGACGCCCGGGGCGTTCGAGCAGAATGCAGGGTGGGGAAACCGAAGAGAAAGCACAGAGGGGTCGAAGACAGGAGGACCCGGTAGAATGTATGTATGGTGGGGGGCCGTGCGGAATGCCAACCGTGCGGAGAGTACAAACCATCCCAAACTTTCGCAGATCCTAGGGTCTAGGAGGGGGAGAGCCAGCCAGTAGCAACACTCGCTCCTGCTGCCCAGCCTACCCAGCTGCAGCGAGGAGGGGCCGCGCGCAGCGCGCGCTGGACGCTGGCGGTCCCCACGTCGCGCCCACCCGCGGGGCCAAAGCGACGCCGCTCCGGGCACTGAGCTGCCGCCCACGGAAGCAGCCAGATCTCAAGTCTCTGGCTCGCGCGCGGACTGGGAGGAAGCGGGATTCTACGCGGACTGGAAAAGAAGGGAACTTGACCTCACAGCCTCGCCCAGCCAGGTGGGACGGACAGTACTTGCCCTTGGGCAGCCCGCGGGCGTGCAGCCTGGAGTCAGGGAGGCTGGGGACGACCTGAGCGCAAAGATTTCCACGGGCTAGAGAAACCGGATTAAAGAGAATTGTGAAGAGCAATCCAAGCAGCCGCTGGAGCGCGGCAGTTTAGAAGACACCCCCTCCCCATTAGGAGGACGACAGTGACACGCACTCGCTAAGACGAGGCGCTCGAGGGCTGCCGCGGGTCTGAGCCGGAGCCTCCTCCCCAGTGTGGGGCGTGCGTTCAGACGCCGACAGCGGCGACCAGAAAGCGAGATGTGCGGTGCAGCCCCGGGACTGCCCCGGCTGGGGAAACTCCGGGGTGGCACCGCGCACCACTGACCCATTGCGGGTCCGAGGGGTGTGCCGCGCCCCGCCCGCCTCCGCCCCCCTCTCGCGTCCGCCGCGCGCCCCTCCCCGCGGCGGCGGCAGCGGCGCTTCCAGGGGCGGCGCGGAGCGGCTCGCCCAGCCGCCAGTGCCTGCGAGCTCCAGGCTGCTTGGGGAATTCACTCCGCCGCTTTTACGCTTCTCCGTCTTCAGGATTCTTCTGATGGCTCTGTGTCTTGGGCTCTATCCTTTCTTTTAAAAGGAAAACTTTACTGCCATTTCGCTTTTCCCCTTGGGGGAGAGGATTAAAAGTTCCGAGAACCGAAGCCGCGGGTCCGGCTCCGGCGCTGGGCGGCGAGCGCCGGCGGGGCTGTAGTCCCACCATGTGCACCAACATAGTTTACGAGTGGCTGCGAGCGCTGCAGCTCCCGCAGTACGCGGAGTCCTTCGTGGACAACGGCTACGATGACCTGGAGGTGTGCAAGCAGATCGGGGACCCTGACCTGGACGCCATCGGGGTGCTGGCGCCCGCACACCGCCGCCGCATCCTGGAAGCCGTGCGCCGGCTGCGCGAGCAAGACGCCGCCGCCGCCGGCCTCTACTTCACTCTGGAGCCGCAGCCTCAGCCCGCGCCGCCCGGACCGCCCGCGGTCCCCCGCCCCACCGGCCGCCGGGGGGAGCCGTGCGGCGGCCCGGCCCAGGGCACCCGCGGGGTCCCCTGCAGCCAGACGACCTCCCCGCACAGCAGGGAGCTGGTGAGCTACCCCAAGCTGAAGCTGAAGATCATGATCAGGGACAAGCTCGTCCGCGACAGCATCCACCTGAGCAAACCCCCGTACTCCCGCAAGGTAAGGAGGCGCCGCCCCGGAGGGGACGCCCAGGCGCCACAGCCCAGGCTCGGCGGCCCGGCTCCGGGTGGCTGTGGGGAGGCTAGAACGCTTTGGGTGTTTGGGATTCTCTTCTGTGTTCTTTCTGTGCTCGCTCGCTGTTCCTTTCTGCCTGGTGTCACTAGCGGTTAGTAAAACAGGATCTTGGACTCAGCTGTTAATTCTAAACTCGGACCAAGTCTCTGTGTGGTCTCCTCTGCTCACCTGTCAGCAGCTGGACTCCATCCAGAAGCAAAAGGGCAGTTGCCGATACCTCTGTGGTCGAGTCTGGGTCTGAAGGGTACCAGAAGGATGCTTAATATCTACATTTTCTCCAGCCTTCCCTGCGTCAGTTCTTTTCCTGATCTTTTTGAGAAACTAAGGCAAAGAGGGGAAAGTCGTGCTGGCTGTTGCTCTCAGTTCCGTCAAGTCAGATCCCGGCTGCACGCTTGAAAAGCGGACCGGTGACCTGGACATTCTGGTGGGAAAGTTAACCAAACACACGTCAGCCCACTTGGGGCAAGTTCCTTCGACTTGGGCATGGAGAGGTAGTAGGTGCTGAGGACTCTGGACGCGGTGGGGCCGCCGAGGTGTGCTGTCAGGTCTGTGCCCGGTGCCCCGTTCGGTCTGGTATTCGTCCTGAACAGACGGAGTAGGCGCAGCTGTGACTTACAGAAAGCCTGAGGGGCCTTGCGTTTGCAAGAGGGGGACACAACACGAGGGAGTGAGACGTTCAGGACCCGGCGAGGAGCTCCCAGCGCAGGAGCTTGGGGGAAGGAGCCTGATGTCCCAGCAGCTGCTGGGTGAGGAAGGGTGGCATGGGCGCCTGGGCGTGGCATGACTACCTGGCAGACAGTCTCATTTCACACACGAGCTCTGCGCCCACCTGAACCTGTCCCACGTAGGTTTCTCCAGCCCTCTGGGGAGGGGGTCCTGACTGGGAGGGGAGGGAGGGAGACAGCACAGGTGATCCTCCAGCTTCCGGGCAGTTACCCAGGGAAAGGGGCACCTCAGCCGGAAAATCAGGGCATGGGGAAACCCGGGGCTGGGGGTCGGGGGTGGGGGGCGATGAAATGGGAAAGATGCTGTAGCTGGAGGGGGATTGTAACCAGCACCCTACCAGGGAAATGCCTCATAATATGTGGGTATTATGAGGAAAGCTCGTAATATCTGGACTGAAGGAAGTTCAAGAGAAAACGGCAAAAAGTAGATAACAGTATCTAGGTTGGACTCAAATGAAAGGTTTAATATTATCCATATGTTAGTTTGAAAGACAGGCAACTCAGATAACTTGCTTGAGTGCATCCATTTGCGCTCTGAAAACTATACAGAGGACACGTCTGGAGGACAGTCCCCCTCACATCACACCCATGTCCCGGTCACACGCTGACTGTGTGGCTGACGCACGCCCAAAATGGGGGGGATGGAGAGGAGGGCATGCTTTTCCCGGGCTGGGGAGTTAGAGTTCTGTCCAAGTGTGGACAGAGGGGCGGGGCCAGCAGTGTCACGGCCCATGTCTGGAGTCAGGGGGTCCAAGGAGTTCAAGGTCAGACTTTTGTGACTCATATCCCAGGATGGGAGGCGGGCTGAGGTTGAGAGAATGGAAGAACCTGGGCACGTGGTAAGTTCACGTCCTGGACAGAAAGGGAGGCAGAGGACAAGGGGCGTCGTTAGGGCTTGCTTATTTTTGAGGACAAGAGGTTAGTAATGGGGCTGAGAGGGCAGAGGAGGGGGGTTGAGGGGGGAGGGGGGGCTGGAGGTGAGAGTGGGGTACCAGAAGTAACACATTTGGGTTCTGAGACTTGAAGAAACAAGACTAGATACCAACCTTAGAAGCTGAGAAAGATTCCTCAGTGCAAGAAAATTGATTCCGAGGACTTGAAATGTCTGGGCCGAGACTCTGGACTGTGGGCTGCCGCCTAGAGCGGTGCATGCGACGGTAATGCATTCCAGCGAGTGCAGTTTACAGAAGAAAATTTCACCTTACATTGTGATGCCATTTACTTTCCATGTAAATAACTGTTCAGTCAGCTGCTATATAAATCTCATGACAGCAATGTTGGATAATAAAGATAGATCCTCCTGCACTTTCTGTACGTATTTAAGGGAGACCAAAACATGGAGTTGACATATGTAACTTTAAAAATAATTCTGTCACTGCATGTTTACATAGTTGTTACAAGAAAAACAAACGCAGAGATGGAAACGAACATGTGATTAATGTAACCCAAACTGGGCTTGCGTGTCTGCACTGCCAGATCACAGGAGTCATTGCGCATTTGCTTATATGTGCGTTGTCGCTTAAGTTTGGTATTTTTAATTATTTCAGGATTTGTTTTCTGATGCAGCTTTTTTCTTTGCAGACAGTGCCAGGACTATTTTTTTTTTAAATGTGATCTGTGTTATAATTCGTCCAGATTCCTCGGCTCTGTCGCGATCGGAATGTGTAGGGTTCGTCATACACAGTTCGAATTCTGCTTGTGAGAGCCGGCCTCGCCTTTCCTTCGTAGTCATTTGCATCGTTGATCCCTGTGATTTTCTGTACTGTGATGAGAATATCAGACGGCATCGAAAGTGGATTATGCGGAGGGCGATCAAGGCAGGAATAGTGAAGCTGGCAGGGAAAAGAAAGTTGAGAGATTTCTCCCAAGAATCACCTGGGAGGACTGTAAGATTTAAGGTTTGCTACAGTGACATTTAACCTTCCTGGGTGCTGAGCTCCAGGTGTGTGCATTACATCTTATCAGTTGTCACGCTGCCCACTCAGGTGAGTTACAGTGTAAGTAACAAGTAGGTTTCTCTTGTTTTGCAAAGGACGTCTGTAGCTTTGGAAAGAGCACCTGGACTCCAGCCCTCTCCTCCTTGTATTGAGCAGGCGCCTCTGACTGCCGCGGTTTCTGCCTCAGTGAGGCAAGGAGCCACTGTTTTCACAGGGTGGGCACTGGGTAAAGCTTTCACACATCCTTGCGCTACTTGCCCAAGGTACTTGCAAAAGCCTCCTGCTAGGCTCCAGGTTATTGCAGTTGGCAGCATGCAAAAGCCTTGCCCTCAAGGAGCTTCAGGTCTAGCAGGAAAGACATAACATGAATGAACAGTAATGGCTGAGTGTGATGATGGCTTTGATAGGGAGCACATGCAGTTGTGGACAGGTGCATCTAATCTAGTTCGCAGGGAGGTGGGGTCAAGGCTGGCTTTCCAGAACTGGAATTTTATCCGAGAACCAAAGGTTGGGGTGTTTAGCCCAAGGAAGAGGAGAGTCCAGGGTACGGGTGTTCCAGGCAGAGGGGACAGTGTGTGCAGAGGCCAGAAGGGGAGGAAGTTTTGCATGCAAAGGGATCTGATGGAATTTAGCCTGGCTGGCGCCCAGAACACTGGGAGGAAGTGGCGAGAGACGGAGAGACAGACAGTGGCCGGTCCTGGGTGGCCTTGAAGCCAGCCGTACTGAGGAGTTTGGAGTGTATCTCCAGAGGGGAGCTACTGATGGGTCCTGGCCAGGGGCAGGGTGACAGTCAGGGGGTGGCCGCAGTGTCAGGAGAGATCTGCTGCTGGCCTGGACTGCTAGTGACGGTGGGAGGGGAACAGGAGAGGCAGTTGAGTGGCAGAATTGACAGAAGTTGATGACTGTTCAAATGTCAGGCCAAGAGGGGCGGGGGTGGGGATGACACGCAGATTTCTGATGTAAGATTCCAATGTCATTCCTGGAGCTAGGGGGCCCAGGAGAAGACAAGTCTGGGGAGAAAGATGTTACTTTCAGGTTTAAACGTACACTATGCACCTGGGGAGTATATGAACTTAGTTGGCAGTTGGAAATTTGGCAGTAGACAGAGGAAGGATTCTGGGGCAAAAGATCTAGATGTGGGAGTCATCAGCACATAGAGGCCATGGACAGGAATGAGCTGCTGAGGGAGAAGAGCGGAGGGATCCGGACAGGACAGGATGCTGGGGAACACCAGGATTAGGGAGATGAGCAGAGGAAGAAAAACTGAGGGAGGCGAAAGGGGTGAGTGGAGAGGTGAGGCAGAGGTGGGTGGCAGTGACCTCCGCAAGCCGGTGGAAACAGCGAGGCTTCCGGGAGGAGGGACTGCTCAGGAGGACACACTCTGGCCAAGTAGGAAGCAGACCTGTGCTGTGGTGTCTCTGAAGTAGCAGGTTTAGGTGGTGGGACCGGTGAGAGGAGGTAGGAACAGGGAACACGGACAGCCTTTTTTTGGTGTGTGCAAGACTTTTCTTTTTTTTAAGAGCAGTTTTAGGTTCACAGCACATTGAGAGGAAGGTGCAGAGATTTCCTGCATACCTGCTGTCTCCACACATGCGCGGTCACCCCATTGTCAGCGTCTGCCATCAGTGGTGCACTGAGGATCGTGGACCAGCCTGCGTGGCTGGGTCAGAGTCACCTGTAAAGTCCGTAGCCTACACTGGGGGCCTCTCCTGGAGCTATGGATTCTGTGGATTTGGGAAAATGTGTAATGACACCTAGCTCCCATTCTGGTACCACACAGAGTATGTTCACTGCCCCGAAAATCCCCTTTGCTCTGCCCATTCATCCCTCCCTCTCACCCACCGTGAGTTTTTCACCCTCTTCGTGTATTTATCTTTTCCACAATGTCATATAGTTGGGATCACACAGTGTGTAGCCTTTCCAGACTGGCTTTTTTTTTTTAAAGATTTTATTTATTTTTAGAGAGGGAAGGGAGGGAGATAGAGAAACATCAGTGTGGGGTTGCTGGGGGTCATGGCCTGCAACCCAGGCATGTACCCTGGCTGGGAATCGAACCTGCGACACTTTGGTTCGCAGCCCGAGCTCAATCCACTGAGCTATGCCAGCCAGGGCTAGAGTGGCATTTTTAATACAGCAATACACATTTAAGTTTCCTCCATGTCTTTCCATGGCTTGATAGCTCTTTTTTTTTTAAATTTTAATTTATTCAATTACAGTTGCATAGCCCCTTTCTCTTTAGCACTGAATAATATTCCACTTCCTG